ATGTTCCCTTTCTCTGTTATCCCATTCCTTAATACAGTTTCCTAAATCTCACCAAGCTGTATATAATGTTCAAGTAAAAGTTACAGTTTACTGAAAATGCATCAGAACATGACACATAATACTTTGTTGGGGGAAACCAAATCTTTTCATATTTCTTACCTTATACCACAGGATTTCAGGCTCTCTATATGGTATTAAAAAATCCTGTATGTCAGGGCATGAGATTTCCTTGCTTTTGCTAAGTTCAGCTTTTTCAAAATATTTCATCTTTGAATTGTAGCAGAGGCCAGTGTCATTTTCACCCACTGTCAGCGAAATTGATACTTTCATACAGTAAGTAGAGTTTCTGCAATACAACAAATATAAATAATAGTCTCGTGAAATATTGAACAAACATCCCTCTCCCAATGTAATAATGTTGCTGGAATTGTTATAAGAATATTCTTAAAACAAGGAAGTAGATCTATATCTTCATTAGGATTTAGCAGCAGCTCTTGTTCAGTCACTAAAAACTGTTATTTTTAATCTTACATTATAAACTAGTAGGACTTCTTTCATATATTTTGAATAGGAGAACAGCTTCCTGCAGAGTCAAAGTCAGTGCTAAAGGGCTGCATGCATTAAACAGCAAACCCCATAACTGTCCTGCTGTCAAACACTATTCTAGTGTCTTCCTGGACTGAATAGCTTTGTTCAGAAAAAAGCAACCCATCTCCAAAAAGGTACCTGAAGCATCATACCATGAAGTTGAATGCTAAAATCATCAGATTTTAACGGGGGTTTTTTTTTTAGAAGTGTAACAATAAATGAAAACAATTTTTCTATAGCATTTAACTCAAAGCAGTCAAGAGCTTTTGGGTACTTTGAGTGCAAATTAGCTGAAATAATTTGTTTATTCCATTTCTGTACTGTCCAAAAGCCGAAGCTCCCTGGGCAGTTTGCAAATCAACACCACCTTGCTGTTTGCTGTACAGTAGGACCTCATGTATATTTATTCTGAAGAAAGTTTCACAAAGTTCAGCTGGGCTTCCTCCCAAGTCAGAATGCACAGGATTTCAGCCTGGGGCGCCATAGCTGGCAAAATCAAACTGTTATTATAAGCACTCTGTCATGAGCTTTTATTCTCTGAATGTTCACAACAAAAGCAACAAAATACTAGGAAAGTTAATCTTGCTTCTTACCATTCTCTTGTGCTGTAGCTTTAAAGACAGAAAACGCACTCTGGTTTTTGGGAATTGTTTCAATTTTGGTTTCTGTGTGAGTGGATCAACAGCATGTTAAGGTTGATCACCCACTACAAGTGCAATGTGACAGCAGAAGATTTCCCCCCTGCTTTTCTGTAAACACCTTTTGATAGTCTGACTATTAAACTATCTCTAGTAGTGAATGCATATAAAATATTTTTACTTGCTCTCTCAAATACCATAACATGATATAGTTTGGGATTTATATCTACTCAGTATACACCCATTTATAATGGGAATAACCCTAAGACTTCAACAGAAAGCATGTTTCTGTTCTACAGGTTGTGATTTGAATGGTGAAGGAAAGAGCAGGAGAGCTTCATCTGCAGAAAAAGTATCTCACTTGAAAATAAACTTTAATATGATTATGAATATTTTCACTAATCCAGTCAGTCTGCCTGGGTGTGTAATGCCCCCCTTGCCCACCAGCCTCTTTGTCTTCAGCCTGTCAGCACCAGGATATAAGCAGCAGGTATGATGGAACACCAGGGCCTGGAGTGATGGAAGTGGAAGAGGAGGGGGAAAGGCTTATGCAGGCAAGGGTTAGTCACTAGGCAAGACATAATAGTGCCAGAGGTGAAAGCAGAGTTAGGAGCAAGCAAGGGTCAAGTGAAAGCAAAGTTAGGAGCCAACAGAGCCTGGCAGAAACACCCCAGAGGCAAAAGTGGAGTGAGGAACCGAGAGTTGAGGCAAGAGTGAAGACAATTCAAGAGTAGCTGCAGAAGCCAAGAAGGGACCATAAAATGACCAGCACAAATGGCCATATTTTTTAGCAAAGCTGAGTAGTACTGGGAAGCCTTTAACAGGTCTTCCTGTTACTTCCTGCTGGTCTGCATGATTTGTCTGGTCCTAATCCTTCAAGCACCTGCAAGTCTGTCTGTTATCCTGCAAGCGCTTGCAAGATAAACCAGTCTGGCATGATGTTTCAGGTTCTTCTCCCTCTAAGGTCATTTACATGTGTATCCATTTGCCAGTTCAGGTTGTTGTGCATTTTATACATAAAAATGTGACGGAAGAAGGAATCATTAGAAGTAAAACTTGATTAGAGATCACACTCTCACTCCTGAAAGCACAATTGCCTAAAATCCCAGATGTGCAGCTGTCATATTACATGGGTCAAGGCATTTATCTATTATTAAGTCTTTGCAGAATTAAACAGCAAGGCATATGAGGAAACATTTATTTCTATGCAACGGATGATCCATCCTGGTCAGAGTTAGCAGCTACATTTCATTATATGCTGCTCTAACAAAAGGTTAGAAAACGGTATAGCTCACTGAGATATCCTTGCATTGACAAGGGCTTGATATTTATCCCTATCATCTCCAATTAAAAGAATGTCTGAGTGCAGCTGGAAAGGATGTTTCATAATGACCTTGGAAAGTAGCAACCAGTCAAGTATACAGAACTTAAACAGATGGATTATAGGAGTGTCTAATTATCAGAAGACTTGCTGTATCTAAATTCCAAGACTAGGTTATTAGAAATGTTCTAGAAACTGCACATTCATGCAAATGAATGTTTTGGACATCCTATGATTCTTGTCTTCCAAACTGTAGGCTTCACAAGAAACAAAAATGTAAGAGTGGATCATTGACTTTGGGATGGGGTTTTGCTTTTATCCTCTACTGAAAAATCATCTTCTTATCCTCATTCACTTTTTAAGTATCTTCTAAATGCCATAGAAAACAGAATTGTATTTACATCACTTGACATAAACATGAAGAGCTTATTTAGTTTTGATGTCTGTCTGTCTTGTACAATTTTGCTAATGACTGATGAGATCCATAAAAGAACAATACCACATCTACATCCAAATGTCTTAAACTGCTACTGCACATACATTGTATTCTAATATGTTAAAGCCACTATAATGCTACAAATATTATTCAGGTCACATAGTTCTGATATCTGAAATAGATGCTGAGGTACATATTTTAGTTTTCAGCATTTTATTAAGCATTAAACTGCTGTGTAGAGGTAAGAGACAGATTATGACATTTTCAGGACAATGCTGTTTGTCCATATTGTGGTAACTGCTTTGTGGAAGTTTAACTTTCTTTCAGAAACAATCAGTGCATGTTCCTTTTAAAGGGCAAACAGTGCTGAAGTTACATTCTAAAATGGAATATGAACCCTACACAATGACAGACTACCAGAGGCAATTTCCCTTCAGCTGGTATAACTCAATGGTGGGTGGGAGAACATCATAAATGTTGTTCCTGACAACTAATTCAAACAAAATAATTCATATAGTGCAAAGATAAAGCACTTTCATTATCATTTCAGCACATTAAATGCTTAATATTACCCAAACAGAAAAATAATGTTGTGTCAATTTACACATTCTGATGTAGACACAGTAAGTGTGTATGCTTGAACCACTGACACACTGTGTGTACAATATGCTTGATTTCAAGAACCTAAACTTCCAGCCCTCAGTGCAAAGACAGACAGACAGACAGGTGACCAGCATATAAGCAGCAGAAACCACACATTTTGGAACATCCAAAGCACTTCATTTTCTGTTCCAAGTTTCTCCACTTGGACTCATTTTTAAATGACCAGGACTTAAGCCTGTTACTTACACTTCATAAGGCAGTGCATGTATCCATATAATACACTACATTTCCATTAATTTACATTGAGAATTGGACAGGAAGATGTGTCATTATTTTTGCTAAACCTCTTGCTAGAATGTTACTTTTCTGAGGTGTGGCTGGAAGGCACAGTTATGTCGTGGTTCTGGCCCTTTTTGAAGAGTCTTTCTCGAAAATTAGTCCTGTGGAATTCCTGTTTGATGCAGTAAATTTGATGCCCTTTAGTGATCCATCCTATCTCCTATCCCACTTCGTATGTATATTAATCCACTGGGAAAGATTGCCCAGAGTTTTGGGGTTCCCTGCCACAAGTATGCTAATGGCATCCAATTCTGCCTCACTTTTCTAACCAAATCCCAGGAAGCTGTTCTAGTGCTAAATGTATGTCTGATGTTGGTTTAGACCAGATGAGGGCAAACATACAGAAACTTAATCCAGACATGACATAAGTGTTTCCAGTTAGTAAAAAGGCAAAGCATAGGTATGCAATTAGAACTGGTTGGAGTATGCTGCCCCTGAAGACTTGGGCTGAAATTTGAATGTATTTCAGGAGTTGAACTGGGATATCCAGGTTTTGGTAGTGGCCAGGAGTGCTCTAACTGTACCCATTCCTAGAGAAATCTGATCTGGCCATGGGCACGCTTGCCTTAATTATTTGTCTTCACTACATGAAGGCAGATAGGACACCCACAAAAACTGTCAGAAAATTCAACTAGAACAGAATGCTGGGATGTTGAACAGGGCTGGTTACAGAAAGCATGCAGTTCCTTTGTTTCAATAGCTTCAATGGCTACCAGTCTGTTTCCAGGAAGATTTCGAAGTCCTGGTTATGACATCCAAATGACTTATGACATTCAAATGGCTTGAAACTGGACTACTTGAAAGAGTGCCTTCTATTTCTAAACATCTTCTGGAGAGGTCCTTTTTCAAGATCTCCACCTTCAGAATCACATTTGCAGACAACATGAAAGAGGGCCTTCTTGGTGGCTGCTCACTAGCTTTGCAATTTCCTGCCAAGGGAGCCTAGGTTTGCTCTCTCTCTTCTTCTATTTTATGCAAGGGAGATGAATTTTAAAATCCCTCAGGGCTGGCCACTTTCGATCTGTAAACATGCAGGCATTTACAGTATATGTAAATATGACAACTTGTTGTTAACATGTGAAACATGTTCTGCAGAAATTCATTTCATAAGAAATTTGTTCCTCTCTAAGGTGTCTTAAGTCTCTTCATTTTTTTGTTGCACAACAGTGGTGACTGTAGGGCCTGTGTCAGCGGAAGCACCTTCCAACTGAGCAATGGAATCTTTGGATTTAGGCATATAAACCTGCCACCAGTTTAAATGGGTCATGTCCACATCATGCCTAATGCAACAAAAGATTTCTGGAGGGAAGAGTAAAAGATACATGCATTATTCTTCCCACTATTTGGCTCAGTTTTGTGAGTAGCATGGTTACAACATGTAGGGTTTAATAAATTAAGAATCATTATGAGCAATTTTCCTC